CTTGAATCGCCTCGGCCAAGGTCAAAACGGGCTCCTCCTCCGGCTCTGAGGCTTCAGACGAGCTGCTGCTTGGGCTATGGGCCATGCACCAAGCCAAAGCTCTGGGCCTGATGCGAAGCTCAAAGCAACACAACTTCGCCACAGCTCTCGCTGAGCCCAGTTGCTGCACACTCCAACGCATGTTCAATATTCATAGCCGAAGGGAACATGCCACCTGTAAAGCACAAGTCACATCAAGCCATGCAACCACTGACATGTATCTTCAAGCTTGCAAGCGTGTGCCCTACTTGCCACAGCTGAACACTTACTTCTGCAAAAGAAGCCATCTTTACTTTTGGCGCAAGGCCAAAACTCAAAACGTACCGTCTCTGTTTTTGCTTATGTATTTTTTGTTCAAGCACAGGTGTGGCCACCTTCACCATTCAAGCCCAACATGAAAAATGTTATCACCAGTGACAACATGCTCCCTCGCCTCCGGTGCAGGCAGGAGCTGGCGCCTGCGGCTGCGGTGCCACTGCAGCAAGCACGCTTCATGCGCCTCAAGTCAAGTTAGCACCACGCCGAAACGTGCGCAGGACAAGCCTATCAGTTCAGTGCTTGAGTCGCTCTGGCACGAGTTCGTACGCAGCTGCAGCCAGATCAGGCTTCGCCGCGGCCTCACCACAACGAGAAGCGTTGGTCATGCTTCTGAACGGCCACGCAAGTCAACTTCGCCTCCGGGCTACCCATGAACTGAGAGCACCTCAAGAAATTCCCATCATCTGACTGCTAGCACTTCCTGACCACTCATTATGAATGAAGCCACAGCACGAGGAAGCCGTGGTTGTGGGTGTTCCAAGTGCCTCGCGCACCGGACCCACTAGACTAGTTTGGCCCTTCACCCTGTCCATTGCGGCCGCAGATTTCGAGAGATACAATCATAACTAAGCCCATGGGCACTCGCAGAACGAATAATGAAGCTGCTGTTGTTGCTGCTCATGGCTTCACGCTGCAGCACAAGGTGTGCCTCAGCATGGCTCGCCTTTTGGAGGCTCTCCTCCTTTGCACGTCCAGCCTGAACAAGTCGATTGTTGGCATGGTCAGCTAGGCCTGCTCATGTTCGGCCGTTCCTAAACATGTACCTCAATCATCTTCACCTCTCTGCAGCAGGAATGCAAAAATGCTCTCAGTGCCTTGCACAGTATGCTCAAGTCGCGCGGCGGAGACGAGTGCTGCAAGCTCGGCTTAGTTTGCGGGGACCAGGGCAAATGGCGCTTTGACGGTGGTCCAAAGTCTATTTCTTGTAAGAACCTGACTCCCTCATATATCTCGGTATTCCGGCTGAGCCGACATTGTGGAAAGGCATAAGTCTTCACCATGACAATGTCCCCCAATAGGCAAACAGGGCCGTGCAGGCTGATGGTAGAAATTCCTGTTCGTGACAACATCGCAAACCTGATCTCTGCACGGAGGGCCCAGGAATATGTGTAGGTACTGTCGGGATTCATGAATCAGATTATTGCTGTCTCGCTACCCGCTTGGCCGCTGCGGCAAGCTGGGCGGGCGGTTTGGCGGTGGCCGCACCAAGGCCTTCTAGCAGCGGCGCAACGAATAGCTCCGCTAGTGCACAGATGCCAGCATAGCTTTGAGAGAAACTAAACGATGGAGTTTGGCCTCACTATGTCCGTTTCAAGACCAACTTTGAGACGGATTTTTTCGGCGCGCGGCGGGACTGCTGTGGCATAAAACTTGCTTCTGTAATTGTCTGGAGCGAGAGCTGTCGAACAATGCTCCCGAAACCCAGAATCCGGGACCAACAAAATCCCAGTCGTCGTCGGCGCGTCGCCGTCACCGTCACTGTACTGAGAGGAGTCCTAACAAGAAGCGAAAAGAGGAAGGAGAGGACTCCTATAGAATTCACTTTAAGTGACATTGTCGTACTAAAAGCTTAGCAGTAATGCGAGGCTTCTTGAGAAATACAGCAAGACGGGAAGGATTCCCATTAAGAATATAACAGGCACCAGAGGACTCCTACTCAGAGTTTGTTATAAACAATGTCCTCATGTAGAGTTTAGCAGCAAAGAGAGGAGTACTATTAAGAATCTATCGGGCATGGAAGGGTTCCTACCTAGAGTCTGGTAAGAATGAAATGACTTTTTCCATCTGGGTGCTGCTTGGCCAGACAGACATGTAAACAATCTTTGCAAGTCCTCTAAAGTTTATAAGATATTCAACAACTCCAAAAAACCTGATCTTTTTGAGAAGCTTACAAGGGCCCATAGATGTTTAAATTTTCAAAATTGGAAATGTTTGGACAGACGGGCCTTTTGAATATTGAAAACTTCAGAATGTCTACACATTTTAACATTCAAAAACAGTTTTTCAAAGGCGTGAAAATTTTGAAAGTTTTACACATGGAAGCATTGTTTATCGTTTAAACCTTGCACGGCCCAACGATTTTTCAGAAGTTTGGCCAGGCGGGCCTTCAAACATTCAATGAAAATCTTAAAAGGGCACAAAGCTTCTCACCAATTTTTGAAATGAGAAAAATGTGAAGGCACGTCTGACCAAAATTCTAAAAACTAATTTGGTAAACGTTGGATACATAATTGAAAGTTCGAAGAACTTCAAAAGGCCTGCCTGGCAAAACTTCGAAACTTTTGTAGTTTATATCTTTTTGCAAATCTTTGGGCACTTGAAGTTTCTATTTTTCAGAAATCTTGAAAACTGTTAACAATTTCAAAAATCGTTGACACCCTTTTATCCATAATCCAACATCTTCGTATTTCTAAAGTTGTTAAAGTATGATAAACTTTATGAGCTTTGTAAATGTTGACGGCTTCATAAATTTGAAAGGGCCTGTCTGACCAAAATTCTAAAAATGAAAATCTTAAATGAGTTTGTAACTATCTTACAAATTAAAAAAAACATCTTGCAAGGCTCCACAATTTTTTCTTTTAAGACATTTTGTCAGGTTTCACTTTTTGAAGTGTTTCTATCTAATGAGTACTCAAATGACACATAGAGGTCCTGCGCACACATTTCCTATATACCCTAGATGATGCGGTCTCCTTTTTCTTTTCCAGCCCAGCCGCTTTCCCTACTAAACCCTAAACTGTCAACCCTAAGACCGAAATCCTCGACCCTAAGCCCTAAATCCTACACCCTAAATCCTAGCCCTAAGCCCTACACCCTACACCCCAAACCCTGAGCCCTAATTCAGCCAAGGCTCTTCACCGATCCCATTCTCAAAGCCCAGAAGCTGAAATGCTTAATCCTTTGGGCCTTATAGACCCCATATGAGCTATAGTCAAAGCTCCTAGTATCACCCTTCATAACCCCTATAGTAGTCCCCTATATCATCCCCCTATATAACCCCCCTTTTGGAGTTCAGATTACGGCTCACATTCTATTTTGTGGTAAAATGACAACGCAAAATCGTTGACAATATAGCCACAAGGGCCATTATTGTACATACCTTTGGGGTTCAGGCAGAGCCTACCCCCGTAAACCCTTAACCCCACATCCTAAACTCTGAACCCATTGAACATAAGTAAAACCCAAAACCAAAGGCCTGAACCTGAACCCTCAGTCCTTAGTCCCTAGGTGGCATGGTTTTATATGCAGGGATACTGCTCGCGAATCCCACCTGCGCAAAATACCCAAACCTGCAACCTACCTTGACCTGAATTTGCGATGGCATTTTAAGAGTTGTTTAGGGTCATGCTATAACTGAATTTGAAAATCCAAGGAGACAACAGAAGCAATGAAACCAAAGCAACATCGACTAGCCGAATGGCTGACAGCTACGGGTAACGCCGGAACTTCCGCCTCAGCAAAGGGATTTCCAAGGTTTGATCGAACAGGGGTTCGTAGGGCTTATGCGTGATTCTACGCCGTTGGCGTTGTAGATTTGGCACTTGCAGGCTGGGGAATTTTGGCTTAGGGCTTTGTTTAGCAGGGTCTAAGACAAGAAGTCTGGGCTCCATATGCTTTTTGTTTTTTTCTCAAAACTAGGGGTACGTTTTTGGTGTCCCTAAAATGAGAACTACTCTATTTTGGGGTTCGTATTGGGACCTCATGGTAATTCTTCAGACTGGCAATTCTTGGCGTCTGTCTGGCCTACACCGCCTACATTCTTCCTCAGTGTTACAGGAGTTAGAGCCTTCTACGGTGGAGCCAGGAAACTCCAAACCCTGAGAACAAACGGCTAACCTCAAACTTATAGCCTCATTGTTCAGGGTTTAGGGCGAGAAAGCGAGATCGCGCCACCTGGTTGCTTACAGCCTTCTCTTGGGCACCTACTTCTCTTTTTGAACGTCGAGCCCCGCAGTACGACGTCCATACTCAGGCTGCTGGCTTGGGTCGAAGGCTTCAAGCATGTTGCCGGGCATTTGAATGGTCGCACAGGATCCCAATGAACAAGAACCAGGGGTTCAAACAGCATGGACAGGCTGCACATGGAATAGGCTTGGGCAAGCTTTGGCAAAAGACAAGACACAGAAGAAACAACGGTGATGAACTTTGTAGCTGACTAGAGAAATTGTTGGTGGAATGTCCATCGATCACAACGCCAACGCCTCGTTCCAGCTTTCAAGTTTTCAGGCGATGGCTGGGGTCCGCTGTCCACTGTGCAATTGACGCACAGCACATGCCTTGCTACCACCGAGGTTCACATCTGAGCCAGAGCGCTCTATAACCTGACTCATGGCTAGTTTAAAGTTTCCAGCAACGACTGAGAGTCCACTGTCCACTGTGCCATGAACACGCAGCCCGTTGCTGCCACCCGACCCACTGTGAATCGGGACCAAAACTCTGAACTGGATGTTCAACCCTTGTTTCAACAAACATGGAACATGGCACATGACACTGCCTCGTTCTTCTCAAATTCCATGTTCGTTTGAAACATTCTTCTCAAATTCCATGTTCGCTTGAAACAAGAGACCTTTACAATCTCACTTTGCATCTGTACATCGCGACGCGAACTCGCTTAGGATTCGGTGCATTTCGAGTCGGAGAGCTCACGCGGCTGCCAAAGCTTTAGCCGCGTCCTTGATGCGCAAGTAGGGGATATGCTCATTGGGCAGGGGCAACCTGGATTGCTGTTCAGAACTCGAAATTAAGCTATCAAAGTTAGGAAGTCGTGTTATCCACTATATACCCATAATATGGTACCGTAAATACTAAACCCTACCCATAACATGGTAAACTACTTTAAGTTTTAAACAGCAGCCCAGCAACTTGTAGGAAAAGTCGCAAGAGTAGAACTTGGGGATGTCTGCCGAGACGGTTTGACCCAGTAGTGAAGATTCCCAGCGCTCCATCTTCGAGCAGGGGAGTTCCACATTCAAGTCGGCCCACTGGTTGTAGCTGACAATACCTGCCTGCACAAGGTTTGTACGCACTTTGGGAAAGGACTCAACTTTCCTGACATGATAATTTGGATCCCTCTCTCTCTCTCTCTCTCTCTCTCGCTCTCGCTCACAGCCCGCTTCAAAGCAAAAAGGAAACCATGTCATGGGATATGTGGGGCCGTGTAGGACTGATGGTCCAGCAGAAGGAAAATCAACCCATGGGTGAGGGGGTGTTTCTATCCAAAAGCCTGCACGCTGTTGGCGTTGATGTCAAGTGCCTCAATCATACGGGCAGGCGCAGCCACCCAGTCTTTCAAACTGGGAATCTCCTTCAGGTTGTCCAACAAGTCGTTCAAGCCACAATTGTCAGCAGTGCCCAAGTCCTGGATGAAATTGCAGCAACCAAGTATCACTCCTTTACACCTTGAAATCTCTGGAGCTACGGCAAGCTGATATCTTTGTCCACTCGTCAAGAGGATTGGAGGTGAAAACTGAATTCAACAATCTTCGAAACCATCAAACTTAAACCCAATGCAACACCAAATCGGAAACATTACTCTTGCCCAACACGAGAACAGAATACTGATGTTGTTATGGAGGAAAGCCTCTAACCCCACCTATGTACAGCTTTATGTGTTTTACCTAGTCAATTGTAGGTAAATGGGGTTACAGAATCTCTATAACCCAGTCCCTACTTCAGTTTTCGATTTTTTGTCCATTTGATGCCACATTGTTGTGAATTACTGGGGTTATAGAAAGTCCTTCAGGTCCATCTTCAGCCCATCCAACTCCTCCGCGCGATCCTTCACCCCTGCGGCCTCAGCCTTCAGGCTCTCAAGCGAGTCGAATAGATCCTCGTTGCTAAGGGTTCAGGGCTTAGGGTGTGGGGTTTAGCCAAGATATCGACACTGCAAGAAGCTGCAATAAGAATCACAAGTCTCAGAAGCCTTCGTGGCCAAAATCAAGATGGTGTTCTATTGGAAAGCTACGAGACCATGCTCGAGCGCCCGCTGCACCCTAACTTTTACACCCTTCTATTACCCTATATACTCCCATATCCCCTACATACCCCTATATACCCCCATACTCCCACATCCCCTAGACACCCCCATACGCCCTTTTTATACAAACCCAGAGAGCAGAAGCCAAGGATCCTTTACCTCGCGCAAGTCGGAGATCTGCTTCACTGCGTCAAGCAAAGGCACCTGCATCTTCTGAGTCTGTGAATGTGAATCCAGGGCTAGGGGTTTAGGCTTCAGAGACCTTCCACCTACCTTCTATTAGGGCCTAACCTAAGTGACCGGTATTAGGGCCCATACATCTCCAACTAAGGGTACCGGAGGGGATTTTGCTCTGAGTTTGAAAAGGTGAACTCATAAGAGCAAGAACAGAAACAGCTCTACCTATGGGTGTGAGATCATGCGAATGTTGGCAGAACTACTTCGTGGAAAATTTTGAAGCAAGGGGAAAACATTTGAGTACACACACCCCCACCACAAGCCATGGGTACTTGAACCTGAGACCCCCCGGACGAGCCACCTGTAGTACTTAAAGCTACGACCATTCCGGAAAATGTTCCGTCAACCAACGGAAGAAACGCTGTGTTTGAACGTGCTCTCCTGGCAAATGAAACAGAACATATGGGAAATCATGGCATTGGACCTCGGCATGACGCACCACTACGAGTAGAAAACATATCCGGAACCTGACCATGCCAGCAACAAGCAGGCACGAACCACGAAACAGTCTAAACAAAAGCTGAAAGCCAGCCCCGACCGGAAAGTACCCAGTAAAATCCACCGCGAACCTGGAATATAACCCCTATATAACCCCAATATACCATGGTAGTCTCCATTTTCTTTTCTATTATCCCAAGATAACCCAATATCATATAGGAGATCCGAACCCTGGACGCTCTCTGCCGTTGGCCTTTCCCTCTTGCAGATGTTCGATGACGGCCGTGACCGAGCTGTCCAAAGCCTCCAGGACTCCATCCAGCGCATCCAGGGTCTTCTGCGACTGTTTCTGGATGTTCTCCACCTGACAGGGCAGAAGCCGACGAAGCTTTGGACGGCTCTGGGGCTTAGGACCTCAAATGAAAGCACCTTTTAGCTGATCTTCTTTTCTTATTCGTGAGTTTTTCACGGGATATGCACAAAGTCTCATTGATTCTTGCCCCCTTAACACTTTCAGAGCCTTCAACTTCAAGTTCTGGAAGAAGTCCTTGACGCCTTCGATTTTCATCTGCAGCTGCTTGAAGGCTTCCTCCGTGGCAGTTGCGCGGCGTTAGGTTCTCGAAAGGTGTCTGTGAACAATATGGTACGCACGACATTCTGCAACCCAATTCTGACTGCCGAGTCCAACAATCATTTTGGTAGACGCAAGCTTCAAGGGATTTACCTCCAACACCCTCAAGGCCCTACCCCGCAGCCTCCGTGGCGTTCGCCTTGCAATGCAGTGCCTGCGGCAAATCGTTTGCCAGCATCTGAGGCACCTCCGAGATGGACACCAAATAGGGGTTAGATAGGATATGTCGGAATATATAGGGGTAATTCGGGGATCATGTGGGGATTAGGGAAAAGAATATGGTGACCACTATTTAGGGCTAAGGGTCCTCCGAGGCGGTCACCAAGGGTTGAAGCAGGCCGGTAAGGACGAAGGTCTCAACGAAGTCTTTGAATCCGGCACCAACATCCTGCGTCTCTAGTTTTCTATGCATCAACAACAATCCCCATAGTGAAGAAATGAGAAACATAGATCTTCAGACTCGTTGCGTCTACATGCTTAAAGGAAGGGTGAAGCAGAGCTCACCATTCTGGCCAAACTTTACAAAGCCATCGGTCATTATTCTGATGACCAAGAACCTGAGGAAATAAGCTGTCCTGGGCGGCAGACTTGAAGTAGTCCAACATAACACCATGGATCAAATGACATGCGCCACCACCAACACAGGCACTGATGGCGACTGCCATGGAGGTGTACAGCTCCAAGTCGACGGGCGCCGCTTGGATGATGTAGTCGTCTCCGGCAGTCAACTGCTGAACCACTGCCTTACATTTTCTGAGGATACAAGTGTGGAATCCCGACTCAAGATCTTGAGCGGAGACTTTGGTAATACAAAAAGCGAATGAATGAACGTTGGGCTGCCGGCTTGTTGGTCTGTACATGAAAGCCATTCTTCACCAAACACGCAAACATCTCCGATGCGGCTGTCAGGGCCTTGGCAGACGGCTCCGAGTCGAACTCAGACGCTTGCTCCAGGAAGCCCTTCAACTTGCCGAGACAGCTGCAGGTCTTTTCGGCGGTGCGAACCAATGACCCCACGCCGAAGTGATCACAAGGAGACACGTCTTCCCTCGGTTCAGATGATTTGCTCAACTTGCTTACTACCAGGTAGAGACGAACTTCTGAAACATCGAGTTACCTGGACGCATAAGTAGCTAGAGGTAGCAAATCCAAGTGTCCAGTCGATCCGCAAGGTATCCGGCACTTTCACGCACGTCTCACCGCAATGTTGCCTGCTGGCACCTGTGCACGGGATGTCCACGCAAGTCTCCCCGCACTTTGACTTGCTGCAGCCGAACTCTGGCTTGTTGACGCATATCTCCCCGCACTTACTCTTGGAGCAGCCGCACTTCAGGAAACCCCAACAGCAGCATTTGTTCGTGCACGCCTGGCTTGTCCAGCTGCAACAATTGTGGGTGCAGGACTCCTGCCCACACGACCAGCTACACACATTGGTGGTGCATGCGTCCTTGTAGGACATTGTCACGCCTGTGGGCATGTTGAGGCTGGTCTCACAGAAGCCCCGGCCGATGCGACTGCACACCTCTTCCACCACATCAACTTCGCCCAGCTGCCGTGGCCCGGTCACATTCGATGATGCGGAAGCGGAAGATAGGCACAAAGCCGCCAGGAACACTGACTTCGCCGCCATGGGGTCCCCCGTTTGCGGTAATGCAGGTAAGCAGGTACGCGTCTCCGTCTGGAAATGCCAAAATGCTGCAGTGGTGGAGAAGCAGTTTGAGAAGAACCCAAAGGGCAAGCCTCCCCTAAACTGTGGCCTTTGCGCGAGCCCAGGATGACTACTTGGAAGCCGTGGCAGCCGCACTTTCGAGGCCCAGATGGGGTATGCAGGGTAAGTTTTAAATCTTTGGCTTAGGGGTAAGACGGGTTGGGCTCGTGCTCCATCCCAATCTCTCAACCCTACAGACTGAATCCTGGCCCCCAATCACGAAAGCGCCCTGCCTCCGTTGTAGGGCCCCCTGCTTTGAGTCGCGGCTGGGTTCTTCGGCTGGGTTCTTCGGGCTTTGGGTTTGTGCTTTTGGGGTTCAAGACAGGCTCAGTATTTAGGACGGTTGGGGTCTTTCCTTGTCAATCCGGGGACTGAAATCAGGTGAGACGGTAGAGGGGTTTAGGTTTAGGTGTGTCCCTTTGCAACCCCTTATCACACACACATCCATGGGCTGGGCCTCGCAGTCCTGCTAATTTCAGGGTTTGGGAATCTCTCTTGTGCTCTGTGGTCGGAATATTGGAGGTCTTTTCGATTCTGGTTTGAAGCCGAGGCTTGGCATTTGAAGGCATTTGGGCATCTAGGCTTTTTCGTATGGCTGTGTGGGTTTAGTGGTCTGCGACGGGGTTGACCACAAAGGAGAGCTGAAAGTGCCAAGTGCTCTACTCACCTGCAACCAGCGCGAAAATGCCAAAGGTCTGAGGAAAGGACGGACAAGCGCCATTATTGGGAGACACACGGGCTCAACATGCTGCACCTTCTCAACTTCCTAAACTCGTGGAACAAAAATGACATGTTCCACAATTTTTGATCAGAACCAGGTATGACAGTGGCGCCTTGACACTTGCCCTTTTCTGCTCTTAGGGGCACAATGTGGGGTTTAGAATCTTAACGAACGAGCCTTGCGGCTACATATAGGCTTCGCGCCCCAGAATCTTTTGCGGATGGATCTTTATAACAGTGTTGGGTGAATCACTTTCACAGACGTGCTCCGAAATTCAAGCCTGTTCAAGTAGAGTGAAACCAAATCTTGAGCTATAAATGGCGCGCCAGGCCCATATAGCTATTTTGTTCCTCAAAACCCAACACTGAATCCATAAGCCCGCAGCACATTCCCCATAAAGCCAGCAACAGCTCCACATTCATTTATTTTCAGATCCAGGCAATGCCTGTAGGAAATGCCACAAGCGCGTTAACCTGAAAGGGAGTGAAGGATCTTTTTTACAGGGAGTAGCTAACGAAAACTAGCCCTGAAAGCCAACAGCCTCAATCCCACCTCCCTACACCCTCAGCCCCAAGCTGCGTAGCCCGCATGCCACAGGCCTGAATGCTAACACCAAGCCCTACAGAGCCCAAACTTTCAATACTGCATCCCCGGTAAATCCCGAACCTTGCTGGTGGTTATCGGGAATAGAGGATTATAACCCCTATATAACCCCTGCATACTGCCAGTAAGAAACTACTGAGGCCCTGGCGACCGTGCTGCATGTGGTGAGGAGCTGCCCTGTGCACTCGCAGTGAGGAAGTGGCGGAGGTCTTGGGTGTAGGCCTATGTGGGGATCGCCGGGCGTGTTTCGCTTTATGGCCATAGCACAGGGTTTAAAGATGGGGATTAGATCCTAAATAGTCTGGGGTTGAGACTCTCGGATGTACCAATCAGGGGTACCTGTAACCCCACTTACCTACAGCGTATGGCTTTCACCTACCAAGCTGTAGGTAATTGGGGGTCACAGGTCAGGGAGTCAGGGGTAAGGCTTCCGATGAGAAGTTCGGAGTTGATGCTTTGACCGCGAAGGATGAAAGTCAATAGGGTTTTAGGTTTAGGGTCTTGGGCTTAAGGTTTAAGTTCAGGTTTAGGGTGGTTGACAGTCACGGTTTGTGAAACACGGTAGCCCGCGTCTCGGAGTCCGGGTGGAGGCATGGGTGGGATAGGCACTGGAGGCTTTAGCGCGTAGCGTTATGGTCTAGGCAATCAGGAAGGATTATGTAGGGGATTCGTTGGGAGCAGTGGGAAATGCTCTTTGAACAATCTTGAGTGGATAACTCTACTCACAATACATGTTACTGAAGGAATCTAGCTGGGATATAGAGGGATGAAAACACGGGCGTAAAGGCGCGTACGCATTAATAAGGACTCGCATTACAAATCCTAACTGAGGCCCATGTAGGGACTGGGTGGCTTCCCCTTGATGGTATAGCTGTCCGCCCCCCATGACATGACATGTTAGCATTATCCTGTGAATGTGCTACGCAGCTGAGGGGTATCTTCAGCAAGAAGGGCGTGTTTGCTAAGGACGTAAGCCGAATTTCGTATGACGATTGAGAGCCAAAATGCTATGGGCTATGGGAGGCTGAACGTGCCAATCTTGTTCCCTCCCAAGTCTTCACTCATTGCATGCAAATGTCTTCTCACATAGCCCAATTGCGCATTCAAATTACTGAGGCCTCGCAGAAATGTAGGGGCCTCAATAAAGAAGATCACCCAGTTGCACCATTACACTATACCATGCCATACTACGGTAGTATACCACTATATCATACTATATACTATACCCTACTGTACTGCACCATACTATACTATACTACACTATACTATACTACACTATACTATACTATACTACACTACACTATACTATACTATACTATACTATACAACTATACTATACTATACTATACTATACTACACTACGCACTACACCACATCACCCTGCCTCTTCTGCAGCAGTTCTGCGCAGTCCCACAGCCTTCAAAACGCTCTTGTTCTGAAGAGGGGCTTGTTCATAGTAGTAATCGCTGTAATAACATTGGCAAGAATGACCGAAACAATAGGAGTAATCACATTTATCATGATAATAACAAAAATTAGAGGCGAACATCGTTAGGACTTGGGGTTTGGGGTTTTGACTTGGGAGTGTGGGGCTGAGAGGGATTTAGGGCGCGGGATTGGAAGTTGCATGGGTTTTGTGTCCAGGGTTTTGGAATCTGGGGTTTAGCAATGACGAAGCCGAGAACTCAGAAACTTCAAACTGCTTTTCTTTATCCTCGCTACCGTTGTTTCGATGCCTGTGTATCTGAAATGGGAGCACTTAGATCACAGCTCATCTTTGGTTTCAACCTCCAACACCTTCAGAGCCCAGCAGAATTACCAACACTCTATCAACCCTGAATCATGTCCATCTTCCTCTTCGAAGACTCGGTCCCTGCACTGCCCTGCACACAAACCTTCTCACCCTAGACCCTCAACCCAAAGATCTTAGCCCCAAGGTCCCCTAAACCAAAATCCTTAACCACAAGCCCTCTTCATCCGAACCCCTACAAAACTACGCATCTCAGGTTGGCGCTGATTTTGAACCAGGTCTGAGAGGTGCAATCCTCTTGGCCTCAGTAGAAGCAACTCTTGTAACTGATTCCTGAAGTATGCAAACGAATGACCTAATGGCCTTTTGATCAGCTGTAGGGTTGTTAGACATCATTTTATCGACTTCTTGGGTCCAGGTAAGAGCCATCTGTAGGGACTACGGGGTGGTTTCCAACACAGGCAGGTTTCTCATCCTGGTTTTCCTTGAGGGTGCCTGGGAATATAGATTGCGGAGTAAGTGTGCAATTCCTGCTTGAGTACTGTATTGTTCCCTGTGCAAGACACCTTACGAGGATAGTAAATGTGCAATTTTCAAATCATCCAATCTTCCCGGTATGCTCCTTGCATGATGCCGGTACAACCCCTGAATCACTATGCAGTGCTTAGACAGGTATTTGTTCCTGCGGCGGATCAAGCGCCGCATCTATGAAGTTCACATTATGGAGCTTGTACCAGGGGTCCTGACGCATCATACAAGGAATTCAGGGTTTGGGGATTGAAGCTTGCATAGGCCCGCGAATTCAGGGTGGAGAGATAAAGACATGAGGGATGAGAGCTCAGAATCAAGGACTGTCAAGTACTAAACAATTGGAGGAAAACATAGGGCTGCCAGGGTATATCTGGTTGGCGGCATCTGCTTTGGTACTTTGCAGGGCTGCAGCTGGCTTGCCTGTTCCCTAAACCCTAAACCGCAAAGCTCCGAGCCAGCAAGGTTGTCTTTTGTTGATGCTATGACTGCGTCCTAGGGGGGGAGGGCCGAGGAGGGGAATAGAGTAAGAGATTATACAGGGACTATGTTCCCTTATCTCCTACAAGCCCCCAGTCAGGTGTTGACTTTGAGGTTGAGGCTGATCTGTTCAAGGCCAGGCTAGGGCTGACAATCCTCGTTACCGTGCCTCACATTTTCACGTAATTGCTGGTCGGATGTGTCCGCTTCGCGGTCCAACGGCTTCGGGCTCAGATAACAAGGAACAGTCACGTGAATATCTAGCATGATCAAGGCGTCTTAGATACATGAACCAACATGCTACCATCCGGATTCTAGTGACAGGCCTCCAAAAGGGGACAATCTACAGTAATTTATACACCCCCTATGCGAGCCGATCATAGCCACGCATCAGCCGCAGTGCTTGTCTCCATAATATACGGCCGACACAAGAGTTAAAGCAAGAACCGCATAAAAATCCCGTGCACTTCAGATCGCTCCAAGCAAGGATCTTCATTTGGGATCCACAAAAACCATTGTTCTAGCAGGTTAGCAGGTACTCAGCCAGTTAGGACACACATGGGCTGGATTGCCTATGACGTAAAGGCACGCTGAAGCTTCCCAAAGGTAGCATTCTTCAGAATGACCAAGTCCTTCTAAATCCTACAATCGAGTCAGGTTACACCGTGCAGCCCTAGACTAAACAATCAATGGCAATAAGAAAAGCGATTAACAGTAGTAATGGCAGTCAGTAATGACAGCAATCGTAATGGTATAGGGTTTAGGGCTTATGAACCAGCTGAACGCCAGGTTCCCGGCTTTGGGTATTTTCGCCTGAACACCAGGCTGAGCTTCATGCAG